CTTGTGTAGACCGACTACCGGCCTTCGTTCTGTAGGGGAAACAGTTGCAACAGCACGACTTCACCAGTCAGATTTTTTCCCTCGGATATTGCCCTACCGGAGAGTGGATCGCTGTTGGGTATGACCTTAGCAGCTGCGGCTTACGTTCTGGACGATGCAATGCGATTTTGCACTTTCAGAATGGAGAACAGCAACGTTGAAGTACTGCACTGTTCGAAGCCTGACAAATATCAACTGCACCTTCATGAGAGTTGTGTTCTCTCCCTTAAATTCGCACAATGTGGAAAATGGTTTGTCTCTACGGGGAAAGACAATTTGCTCAATGCCTGGAGAACTCCATATGGTGCTAGTATCTTTCAGGTAGGAATATCGGATACGGCTGAGTTTGCATCTCATTATCAGAATATCGCATTTCTGTTAAGTGAGTTTTTCGGGAACATCGGTTTTCCTGTTTTATAAAAGATCTTTAAAAAACACCTATAAATTCCATTTGCATTTTGCATTCTTATGCGGAATTGAGTTGCCCTACTTTTATGAACTCTGCTCTACAATTTAAACGCTAGGTATTAGTTTTTCAGTTTATCAAAAATTTTCTTTAGGACATGTACCATACTTTTCGCCGTTCATTACCGGGAATAACTCATCATTTCTTTGTCCCTATAGAGCGGTCTTTATGAACTGCTTGCCTAACAAAAGCGTTATTTTTCCGTTCTCTACATAATCTTTGCGGTTGCTTTCTTCAAATGAGTACTTAAAATTAGTGACTCAGCTACAGTAAGAAAATGCTCTGTGATATCCGGTGTTTCGATTAAGGAATTTCGATCATACGTAGTCAGACGGACTGCCCGATGCTTCTGTTCGTAGGTGTTTATACTTGAATTTAATTTCTGTTCTCCCGTGTGCATATTAGGCTATCGATTGTACATGATAATAAGGAACGTTTTCTTCTATGCATCCGATATTATGAGAACAGTTGAGTTTTTTCGTTTTTGAGTACCCCTGTTATTATGTCATATTCGCTTTTGAAAGACATGAAGTAGACGACATGAACTAGCGAGAAGTTAAGTGTGTATTAGAATTGGTCTGTTTTTCGTACATAACAAGATCTTTGTTAGCTTGTCATTTGAGTAAGCATTTAAGCTCGATTTAAAGGCGTTACCGCTTGAATTTCAACAATTTCGTTGTTTGACATTGACAGTGATGATTTATAATTTATTCTCCAAACCTAGCGGGAATCAGTTTAATTCATCTTATTTTTTGAACATTCATCGTAATCCAGTCCAAGTTACAGTCCGAACTAGTTTATAATCGTATGAATTGACTGAATTCTGGAATAAATGTTATGCTGCGAAACCGTAGGAATGAAACTCAATAACAACTTAATGATTTATTTAGTTATTTCCTAATCGATATCCATTTTAGTCAAAAGAATCATCCTCGGTACTAAGCTGCGATATATCAGGTGATGACAAGTACATCGTGACTGGATGCGGTGACAGAAAAGCTACTCTCTACGAGGTCATTTACTGAGTGAAAAAACGCTAAAAGTTGCATTATTTTCCACATTCCAATGTTAACAGTTATACAAGTTGTCATTCTTTCTGTCTGTTTCAATGACGTTGTTGATAACTTTACTGATTTTTGTACAGTTCCTTCTAAACGCTTATTAAACTGTTGCACCAGTTTGCTGAAATACTCTCATTGCTCGCATCACACGCCCAACGTTAGACGTTTACGTGCTTGAATGCTGCGAATGCAGCCACGTGAAATTCGTAGTCGGTAGTCGTTTTGGCAGCTGACGTCGTAGTGAACTAGAACAACTTCATTTCAGTTCCCCAACGATAACAGCGGAGCATTTTTCAGGTCATTTATTTGTGAACAAGGAGTCTAACTTGCTCGCAAGCAGCGCATCAGCGAAAGGTATCAGTTAGGAATGAAGGTGAATGTCTGAATTTATAATGCGAGGCGAAATTTAAAAGAATTTGGCTGCATCACTATCGCACGACATTCGATGGTCGCTTCGCGAGACTATTTGGAGTCATGCAGATGGAGCGTATATGTCGGTGCTGGGAAGATGGTGAACTCTGAGCAGAACGAAGACGGAGGAAAACTGTTTAAGAGTAGATTCGTAGTGATGTTGACGTGCAAACGTCAGATTTGTATATACTGAATGAATAACC